CCTTACCGTCATCTGAGAGCCGATTGTCTACATATTTTTTTAATTCGTTTAGTGGGGGTGGAGTCCAACTGGGTCGACTCGGCACGGCGGCCACTGATTGGCCTATTGTAGCCTGCCCCGGGTGATGATGATGATGGAGAATTTGGTGGAATGAAGATTGGCAGGGGAAACCGAAGTACTCGGAGAAAACCCGCCCCAGCGCCACTTTGTCCATCACAAATCCCACTTGACCAGACCCGGGATCGAACCCGGGCCGCCGAGATGGGAAGCCAGCGACTAACCGCTTGAGCTATGGCGCGGCCTAGCTATACATGTTACATGTGAAATAATTTTACTAATTTTACAGACTTTCAACCACCTGCCACGGCGTTTTCAACGTTAATCCTGAGAACCAAGGGTCCCCAAGGATGAGCATGCAAACAGCTTACCTACCAGAAAACTGATTCAACTTTTATACGTAAATCTCGTTATAATTTTTAAGTGTTTGTTTTTAAAGTCTGTTATTAATTCCGAGTATACGAAAGCACGCAGTGTGCCAGTGGTACAAGGATCCCTACTCCATTCATCCAGTCTCTGCCAGCAAGCGTGGCTACAAGGTCGCTCTGCTGTGTTAACAGTACCTGCTACAGTAAGCTAATCCACGTACGGCCTTCAACGTTCCGTTAGCGCTGAAGCGTAAGACACTTGGAGGGATATCGCACGCGTGCTGATCAGCGGTAGCTGCAAGAGAGGATCAGAGAGGAGACGTGGTTACATCAAAGAAAGCAGAGAGCTAAATACGGATTTGGACTCAAAGGAACAGGGACTTAATTGGCAAAAACCCGTTATGACCAACTTCACGATACACAGTTCTCCTTGAGAAGCCACAAGTCGGAAATAAGCCATATAATTCTCAGGCTTTCACGGGTCCCAAAATTCATTGTTGTGATCGCAAGAAACCGCCACTGAACCTCAATCCTAAGCCATATGAATCCAGCCTTACAGCTTATTTCTTATTTTCATATGCATGCACTGGTCTCCCAGTTGGTACATTTGTTTCAGTTTTTCTGACAAAAATGTTGTATGCATTTCTTAGTTCCCCCTCATATCAGCATTTAATACTGAAGAGAAGGTATGTGCATTGGAAACCACATCTATGTCAACAAATTCGCAGTCGCATGATTTAGAATTTTATCTTCTCTTTTCAAAGATTCAAGCTACACGAATTTCCAGATGTTTGATTTTGATAGAAAGCAGAAAATATATTATCATGATTTTCTGTCCTCCAGTGACTGAGGCTAGCTCTTTCTAAGGGACCCAACAGAGTAGGTGTCTTCTCTCACCTGAGGGCGGAAACAGATCCAGTCTCCGAAACGTTGTGTTCTTTCTCAGTTATTTAGAATCCGGACGATGGACAAAGTCCGAAAACCCAGTATCTCTGTGTGTTGTACACCATCGTCAGAACTGTATAGCATCTACCTAAATTAGGGATTTGGGTAAAACTGAAAATAAACGTTATACGAAAAGAATGTTAATATTCATTAAGCAAGTCCAAGAGGTATGTTAAAAGAGAAGATTTCATTTACAATCATTTAAAAATACTGACATTTTTAACGGATTTCAATGTCCCGTTTATCTCAGTTTCTAAAATCGCCTTTAGTAAACAGGATCCCGTATGACAGAATTCATTACGATCCTAGCAAGTGGCAAGGAGACCTACTCGCAGAAGAAAGAAATGCAACATTAATGAACTAGAAACAAGCAGAATTAATTTAGATTACCGAACGCAGAGAATGCATGCGATAGGATGGAAAATTAGGTCAGCAGCCAATAGACGACCTGCACTCTGCAGATACTATTAAAAGAAGTGGGGGGAGTATGAAATGTGTTGTGTGCAGTTTAAGTGACTTGTACTGTAAGAAGTTAGCAAAGCAAAAAGAGAGAAGGAGAGAGTTTTCGAGAGAGTAAGGAGTCAGAAAACAGCGAGGGGAGAGTTAATAGTAAGCGGGACAGCTGATGTGAGAAGTGAAAATATAGACTGCCTTACCTGTGCTCTGGTTGTGATTACAGTTCTGGTAGCACAGTCTGTCAGTCAGCAACGCAGTGCTAACGACGACGTCTGCAGGGGATCTGGTGTCAGTCCCAACAGTGGGTCAGCGGGAGAAAATTGTTCGGTTTCTCCGATATTTACTACTTACAAAGACACTATGGAGCTGTTACAACGGAACCTGTTTCTAGTCACCTGCATCGTTCTGATTCTTGGCCTACATGCTGATGGAGGTGGCGGACCTACAAGCCGGAAGGGTGAGTCTCTGTGCCCAGTGGGATATGTGGACCTGACAATTCATGTGTTTTGTGCTCAAGGGATACTAGTGCCTACATTTAAAGGGAATATAAACATATGTTTTAAATTCTGTATTTCTGAACATCATTTGTGCTCCTGGAAATTATTTCGTGTCAGATGAAATTTACAAGTGATTCTAAAACGAAATATTTGTCATTATAATTTCGTTGAATATCTTACTCATCTACTGAGTCTATTCAACTGAAGAACGGTTACGCCTATTGTGCTTCTGTAATCTAAACGCCTTGTTTAATGCAAAGAGTATTACGGTTTTCTAATGTGCAAAGTAAATTTAATTTCTAACGAAACTATCCCTCTTAGAATCTATGACATCTTGACCTTTATATACATTACGTCCCGATACATATATATATATATAATGTGCAATTACAAGTGTTTCCGTGGGATCCGAACTCGCTGCTTTTTTTACACTGGATAATTAGCTATTTTTATAATTTATTTTCTCCAAAACATCAGCATTTAGCATTCTTGTGTAATAAAATAACATCACGCGATACATGAGACTTATACTTTATGTATCAAATAATTACATGGAAATATTAGCGCTGGACGTTTTTATCTGACTTTTAAAAAGTGACGAAATTATGAAGTGTTCTGTATAGAGACTAGTTACTGGCTGGACGTGCCATGGGTCGGATTTCTAGTCCCGGTGAGGTCAGGAATGTTCACTTCTCCATGTCGTCCAGACTGGCTCTGGGGTCCACACAACATTCTATCCAATGGGTACTGGGAGCTCTTTCTCCGGGGGTAAAGCGGCCGGGGCGTGAAGCTGACCACTCACCTCCAGCTAGTGCCGAGGTCAAGAAAACTTGGGTCTGTACATCCGCTCCCTTATACGCCTTCATGACGTAGTGCTTACTTAGTTAAGCACAGGGACAACTTTACCTTTTTACATATATCCCGCCAAAGAGTCACATGTTGCAGTACAACGCTCCGCCGGCAACACGCACGGGGGACTGCTCCTACTTCTGCAATACCGGTCTCTAAAAGACATTTCAAACAAAGGATGGTTCTTTGCAGTCTGTAACAATTGTTGATTCGTTATAAGAATATTATGTCGGACACTGACCATTGTCTGGCTTATACTTCATAAACTGAACGTTTCGGAAACTGAATCCATTACTGTCATCAAGTATGTAGGTAAAAGGAAATCTACAGTTGGGCCCTTTAAAGATCTTTATTACACGTTGTGAACTGGGCTCAAGTAAAATAAGCGCACTGCTCTAAATACTTGATAATGCAAGATTCTTTCGGTGAATTCAAAGTGAAAATTCCTCCCGGCGTCTTGCTTAACAGATTTTTTCCGAGCTTCTCTTTGTCGAATATCTGATTATTAAACCTTAAGTAGACAGAAATTGAATGTTATGTGATCTTATTCGGTTTATTAATGCCAAGCCATCTTCCTGCCCGTAGCAAAACAGTGGAACGTAAGGTTTTGTATACAGTACAAAGTAACACGACAATTCTAGGTCAGACAGCCATGATACTACTTTCAACAGCAACTTGTTCCTAGATTTCTTTTAAAAAAATCCATATTACAATTTTCCATACTGTAACAAACTCTTATAACGCCTAGTGTTATTAAACGATTTTGTAATAAATATCTGCAGATATAAATTAAATGTTTGTGTGTCCATTTAACTTTTAAATTGCTGGATATTTTACAAGCACAAATTAAACTATTTATTAACAAAAAGTAATTATGTTCTCACTTTTCCATCATTAACTACCATAATGCCCGCTCAATTAACCATTAAAGCACAGCGGAAAATATACGTATCAACTAATTTAGCATTTAAAAATCTCCATTTTGCCCAGGGAATGTATTTATGGTTCTGGAATGATTCTCAGAATAAGCAGCGATTTTTTTTTTCTAAATAAAAGTAACCAGCTGTTCTTCATAAAAGAAATGTTACGTGCTTTTTGAGAGGCTTAATTTCACTTACTTAATATCGGCTAACCACTCACCTCCATCTAGTACCGGCGTTAAGACTCCCCCATATGTTTTCAACTCGTATTTCTATCGAATGAGCACAGTTAATATGGCTGCGAGGTCTGAGAAGCGTGAACTAGAGCCGAAGGCTTTGAATTACCTTTCAAATCCGATGGATCAAAAATGGTACCTGTTTCTCAACCCAATGAGAGGGGCTTCCATACGTGAAGGACCCAGTTTTGGACCCAAAGGCTTCTGGACTTAGCGGAGCAGTAGGATGCATGCCCCAATAAACATGTAAACAACCTGTTTCGCTTTCATCCAGTTGCGAATTATTATAATTAACTCGGAAAAAGTACTATTTACATTTGTGCATGTTGCGTGATGAGCAAATGTGTCCCAACTGCATATTACTATCAAGGCCCAATTATCCGAGAGAGCAATCCAACTGCATTTCTATTCATAATCTGTGCCACGGTTCTCTAGTTACTGAAGCGTTGTTAATGTATTCGCATGGTGACTACGATCTTCAGCGGCAAATGACAGAGACACACGACTGTCACTTATTAATTTCGTGCTCGAGGAATGAAACCGAAGCGGACGTCTTCAACGGTCACTCAGAAACCCGACAGCTTTCCTTCTCATGCGTTCCATGTCTAATGACTCTTGTAGGAACCGTGTCTTCCTACGAAGTGTGTCAGAAAGCATGAACGTATTAAATTAGACACCAATTCCTGTATCTTATTCGGAAGTACCAGGATATACGTGTTACTTCTTATTTGGTTATATTATTTCAGATTTAAAAAAAATAATATTACAGAATAGATATTCTGTGAGTTTTAGGCAAATTAGTATATAAATAAATGTATACAAATAAATATAATAAAATACACAGCCTGTGGTTCTGTATGGGTGTAAAATTTGATCTCTGGCACTAAGGGAGGAACATAGACTGAGGGTGTTGAGGAGAATATTTGATTGGGGAAGACTGCATAATGAGGAGCTTCATAACTTGTACTCGTCTCCAAGTATTATTAGAATGATCAAGTCAAGGAGGATGAGATGGGTAGGGGGGAAGTGGAATGCATATAGGATATTGGTGGGAAAGCCAGAAGGAAAGAAACCACTGGGAAGACCTAGGCGTAGTTGGGTGGACAATATTAAAATGGATCTTAGAGAGATAGGATGGGGTGGTTTTGACAGGATTGATCTGGTTCGGGATAGAGACCAGTAAAGGGTTCTGGAGAAAACGGTAATGAAGCTTTGGGTTCCACAAAATGTTCGGAAGTTCCTGAGTAGCTGCACAACCGGTAGCTTCTAATAAAGGGCTCAGCTATATGAAGTTAGTTAATACAATACAAATTTTGTCACTTTTATGAAGAACGAAAGGTTGAAACTTCACTGGCTGTCTTCATTTTCATATTAAAAATTACATATGCCTTTATCTCAGTAATACAAAATGTAAACTAGGGTCCTGAAGAATAATAGACGTCGAATTGTATCGAACCGTTCGAATGTCCTGTATGTATTCTCAAATCGCGCCGTCTGCTACGAATATGGAACATTCTGAGGGTTATAAATATTTTCATAATTGTATTAGTCTTTCTTATTGGTGGAAAAGGTCGATATGGATTTGGTATGCTCTGTGGCCGTCTAAAGCCTAAATAAAACCCTGTATGACTGGTAGTTACTATAGGATTCTGACGATGGTGTATAACACACAGAGATATTGGGTTTTCGGACTTTATCCATCGTCCTAGTTTTAAGATAACTAAGAAAAACACTACGTTTCGGAAACTGGATCTGTTTCCGTCCTCAGGTCCAGTGATTGAGGCTAGCTCTTTCTAAGGAACCCAACAGAATAGGTGTTTTCCCTCACCTGAGGACGGAAACAGATCCAGTTTCCGAAACGTAGTGTTTTTCTTAGTTATCTTAAAACTAGGACGATGGATAAAGTCCGAAAACCCAATATCTCTCTCTGTATGACTGCTTGAATTAAAGCTCTCACAGAGTTTACCTATATCGTAGCGTTACATATAAATAGGTACTAATATCCCGAACGGGATTAGAATCCTAGATCTCTGTTTTCGAATGGACAGCAGCTCTCCGTTTCTGGGACATTCTTAATCATTTACTCCTCTTTCTGATCACCCGAACAGCAAAACGGACATCTTGTGTTCACTGAAACTTCGAAGAACTGGCTAATACTAACTGTTCAGCAGTTCCAGTCAGACTGCAAGTAATGAGGCCATATTGCATGAGCGTTGTTGATACCAGAGAACACGACTTCAGACTGAAGGGTGGTTACTATATGCACAGTTAGCGAAACTAAAATTACGAAGGTGCGGTTCGTCAAGTTTCATTTCGCCTGAAGCGAAGGGCGGTTCTTGTCGCACGCGAGGCTCTCTGTACCTTTCACCCTTCACGTCCCACAAGGTCGAGTGTTATGTAGTTCTAACACAGTACTTCAAGTTTCGTTTCTGTGAACATTTTCGGTTACTGGTTATATAACCTTTAGGCCTATTTACCTTTGTAACAATGTAACACAGTGAAACTTACGACTGTTTGACGGATGTGGGTTGTTTATTTTTGACAGTCTTTTCAAACTTGTTCACAACTGGTATAAAGGGATCCTTTGTAACTCAAAATCAGTGTTCCACGCCCATTACATCACATAGGCTATATACTATGACACATATATATTTTGATTATGTAAGACAATTTTTGTTATTAGCCTTTAAAAACGCCTTATGTTCGAGAATATTCGTTGTATAAGAACAGGAAATCTAAACGTAAGAGTAAACTGGACGAAATTAAAATCACTACTTCTTAGTTTCTGCACATCCATTTGCAACCATTTGATAACGTGACCATGCTTGATAACAATTAAATATATTGCATTGTAACAAACATTTTGAAGATTTGTGAGCAGATTAGTCATGCTCATATAACAATTTTAAAATTCATGGGAATATTTTTATTGGCGTTACGAATAATTTTGTAAGT